GCGGTTGGTACAGGATAGAGCAGGGTTTAGGGCTGTTGTGCATAGGGTCGCTATGAGTCGGAAACGACTAGACGGCACATAACAACAACATATATTAATATATATAAAATTAATTTCAAAGGGCCAATTTATATAAGCCTCCTTTTCTTTAGATCATAGTATAGTCTTTGTTCCTATTAGAATAAAATATTGAGCTGCAGATGGATTCCTTTTAGGAGGACTTTTGAAAGAAAATATACATAATCTAGTTGATTAAATTTTATACTTAGAGGACTGAGACTATAAGGTGTGAGTTAGGGTGGCAGTCTCTCATAATTTATTCAGGTACATATTTTTGCTCCCCAGGCAAGAAAAATCTCGTTGGGAAGTGCTCCAACAAGAGCAACGACTAATGGAAGAGAAAAATAAACGGAAGAAAGCTCTATTGGCCAGAGCAATTGCAGAAAGGTAAGACATATGGACCCGGAGAGCTGTTTGTAATCTGAAGTCAGTGAGTCATGTTTTATATTTACTTTCCTGTGTCTGTATAAAATGATTCTTTCTTTGTTGTTGTTGTTATTAGTATGTGCCATTGGGTGGGAACTGACACATGGCTGACCCTCCAGAGGGTTTTCTGGGGCTGTAAATCACAGAGGAAAAGGTTACCCATCTTTCTCCCATGTAGATTCAAACCACTTACCTGTGGGTTGGGAGCTCAATTCCTTACCACTAGGCCCATAGAGCACCATGATATTTCTTTGCAGCCATGTAAAGCTAATTAAACAGATTAAGCTTCAGACTGCCACAATGGGCTCCAGTGTGTCAGGAAGTGTGAGGATGGCACAGGATAGAGCAGTGTTCAGACCTTTTGTTCATAGGGTTGCTATGAGTTGTTCTTGACTCAGCGGCACCTAACAATGACAACAACAAATAATGATGCCGAAATTCTGGGTTTCTGGACTTTTTCGTAAGGACTTTTGAAGCATCAGTATTTTTCATTTTACCATCTACACTTTTATAAGAGGAAGAGTAAATAGTTTGTCAATCATCAGTTCGTCAATTAGCAATAAATAAGCAACCTCTTTGTCCTTACATGGTTTGTAGCTTAGTCTGCTGTGGGCTTAGAAAATCTAGTTTAGTCAGCAAGGCAATAATTGAGAATAGTGAGAACTAAATGCAAGCAAATACTCAGTGGTATTTTGGTTTTGGATCTTTGGAAAAATTTGGCACAGCTTGACTTAAGTGGCTGGAGTGCATTTCTTGGAGACTTAGAGGAGCTAAGAGAGACAGATGGCTTGAAGTTATTTGGAATTTTTCTATCCCAGAAGGATATGAAATATTTGAAAATACTTAAAAATACTGATATTTTTTAACCTCTTACAGGTGAATGGTACACTTTCATCCTTCATGAAGCATAGGAAATACATAGCTTGCAGAGCTGCTTACAGTGTCTGAAGAGAACAACAAATACTAGAGAACAAAAAAATTATTCGTTACTGTGTAGTCAGACCTGACTCATAGTCAGCCCTCCAGTGGGTTTTCAGAGGCTGTAAGTCATACAGGAGAAGATTGTCTATGATTCGCATGAGAAGTAGCTGTTGGATTCGAACTGCTTGCCTTTAGGTTGGCAGCACAGTTCCTTACCACGAGGGCACCAAAGCACCCTGCATAAAAAATAGTGCCTTCTCTTTTTTTTTTACAAATGATTTTTTTTCACTTTTTAAAAATTTTATATTGGTTTGTATGCACACTTCATATACTTTGTATATCATTTATGTACATTGTGTTTCACACATTTCTTTTTTCACATTGTATTTCAAACATACATTGTGTTTTATAAAATTAATTATCATTGATCTATGCCTACTGTTAAACTGTCTTTTCCAGCCCATGGAATTTTCCTGATTTTTTTCAACCTCATTCCTGTGCCCAGCAAATTCTGTTATCCTGGTGATTTTCTCCCCTGTGTTTCCTTTCATCCCCCTCCTTCCACGTTTAGACTTTTATCACATCTTACTAGTTATCTTTCTATTTTTACAATAATGATCTTATGCAGTGTTTGTCTGTATGAGACTGAGTTATTCACATAGCATAATGCTTTATGTGGGAGTTTTTGTCTCCTTAAAGCATGTGAATGATTTTTAAAAATGTGTGAAATCATATTTACTATTTTATTTGCTTGTTCTGTTTCTTAAGTACTTAAGAGAGAGTGAAGCAACCGAGATGGGTGAGGTTGGATATCCTTTTAAACTGAGAAAGAAAAGTTGGTTGAGAACCCCACAAATAATGTTCAGGAGTAGCGGTTTTGTCTCAGAAGCTCTGGTGACCTAGTCTGACATTGCGCTGCACCTCAAAGGCAGCACCTCTCCTGTAGTTCAAATCTGCCAACCACTCCATGGGAGAAAGATAGACAGTCTCCTCTTATGTGATGTGTAGCCTCAGAAAACTGGCCTGCTGAGGAGTCAACTATGAGTTGGTTCTGACTTGATGGCAATGAATTACTTCTCTACTAGAGAAGATCCAAATTAATAAAACTTGGAGGAAATGATTCTTAAGAAAGTGCAAGCCAAATATGTTTTCAGACATAAAGAAACAGTGTTTGTTACCATAGACATCTGTTCTCAGTATGTGCTAAGTACCAGAGAAATGAAAATGAGCTTCCAGGAAGAATTAAAGGTTATAAATTTGAAAGACTCTGTGGCATGCTGTGATGAACAGGGAATATAGATATACTTTTATAGAACATCAATTCAGGAGTAAGCTACTTCCTGTTATTATTTTAAACTTTATTTTTTCATTTATCTATGCATATGCTGGTAGGAAATTTGGAAAGGAAATGGCAAAGCATTCCCTGAGAAATATACTGAAGTGAAATATTTTTTGTGTTTTTCTAATTTTTAAATCATGCTCCCCCTGCCTCTTAAGTCATGCTTTGATACACTGGGGAGATATATTTTCAGATTTTCACTCATGCTTCTGATTTTCTAGATCCAAAAGAACTCAGGCAGAGACCATGAAATTAAAGCGTATCCAGAAAGAGTTACAGGCTTTAGATGACATGGTGTCAGCTGACATTGGAATCCTCAGGAATCGGATTGACCAGGCCAGCCTAGACTATTCATATGCCAGGTGAGTCGGGGACAGTGAACTCCAACCAGGGAGTCCGGTTTAATTAATGTCTGTTGCTCTCTGAGCAAAGCATTTTCATGTGTTTTTTGTTGTTGATTGCAGTCGAGTCAAGCGACCCTATAAACAAAAGACCCCAAACCTTTATATAAGTATTGTAGTTTCTCAAAGTTCATAGAGTTTTCAGACACATGTTGTTTAGGAAGTGGATGCCACTTCTAAAAAACATGCCTCTGGAAATTATGAACTTTGAGATTTTCATATATATTATGATTTATCAACCCATTGAGTGCTGTATTTATCCCTCTTTTGTGCTAATTCAAATGCCTTTTCTTTTGTGAATATTTCATTAACACTGGACTGCCAGGTTACCCTATTACATGCCTGTTAGAGCATTTCTTTCTTACATTATTTACTTCCATTTTAGTCTTTCCTGCTGAACTATCGCTTATTTAATGTCTGGGACTCTGTTTTTATTAATATTTTGTTTTTTGTTATTGTTGTTGTTGATTGCCTTCAAATCAAGCACAAATCATAGCAACCCTATGAATAAAAGGCCTGAATCACCTCTACAACCATTGACATTTATCAAAGTACATAGAGTTTCCGGAGGCATGTTATTTAGGAAGTACATGCCACTCCAGCTTCCAAAATTAATTTTTATTTTGTCTAGCAAAATAAATACTGTATGTTGTTGTTGTTTATTGCCATCGAGTCGAGCACGACTCATAGCGACCCTATGAACAAAAGACCAGAAGCTTTTCTTTCTTTTGTTTTTTTTTTTTAATTCATTTTAATGAAAGTTTACAGACTTTGGATTTCCATTCATTTATTGTTTCACTTTTCTCCTTGCCCACCCCTCCCCCCCAATTTGCTCTTCTCTTTGAAAAGAAAAATTCTTGCATTATTAAAAAATCCCTCCCCTCAAGTCCACTTCACTGTGCAGCCTTCGTTCTGGACTCCTGTCATGACAATAATACCTAATCACATATTCCTTTTAAATAGTTCTCTGCCTCAGATGTTTCAATGCAGTATACATTATATATCCCATCTTTCTCAGTCTTCCCTCAACCCCGATATCAGTCCAGTTTTACAACAGTGACACTATGCAGTATTTGTCCTTTTTGTGACTGACATATTTCACTCAGCATAATATCCTCCATGGTTACCCAATCTGCATATTATTTCATGAGTTCCTTGTTTTTCAATGCAGCATAGTATTCCATTGTGTAAATATAGCACAGCTTCTCTATCCATTCATTTGTTGATGGGCACTTGAGTTGTTTCCAACTCCTTGCTATTTTGAACGAAGCTGCAATAAATATGGGTGTACGTATATCTGCTTGGGTGGCAGTTATGGTTTCTACAGGGTATATTCCCAGTAGTGGAATTGTAGTGGGTCAAATAGTATTTCTGTTTGCAACTTTTTGAAAAAGCAGAAACCTTTTGACAGCATCTGAGTGACTTATCCCAAAGCACATTAACTATTACATCCCAGAACCAATATTAACACATTGCCGCAAATGACAAAAAAAAAAAATGTGTTTCTAAGCACAGTCGTCAATTTAAGTGTGTGGCAAAGTGTTAAGATTATTCTTTTTACTACAAGTCTCTGCCCATCTTGTTTAGAAATTTTGATTGAGGTGATCATTATGGTACCAAAGCCTAGTTTTCATTTTAGTTTTCATCAGAGTAACATGATCTCATTTATTTTTTTAATGAAATTCATGAGTGTTTTGAAGAAAACACAACTTCATCTTGGGTATGTGAAACGTTTTCTTCTTTTCTTTTCTGTTGTGTACTGAACAAATTGGTTTGATATATATTTCCTTGGTTTCAACCACTGACTTTTTTTTTGAAAGAGGGAAAATCCTCATGGAATATTTTTTAAATGAACTAACACATGTAAAGAATTACATGGACTTTGCAAACAGATAAAAGGGCAAAAAATTAAGTCCAATTTCAGGGTTTTCAGTTCTTTCAGCATTTCTTTAATCATCCTGGTTTGATTTTTTTCACAAGGGAATGCTGTGCTAATGACTCAGTTTTGCATCTTTCTCTGAAACACTAGAAATCAATCAGAATGCCTCATTAGTCTAGGGTAAACCACAACATCAGAATGTTTATACAACAATTTATTAAAGCGGAAATGCTTGATTGTGGTTTTCAGTTCACTGTTTGGTGTTTTAGAAGGAGGTTTGTGTTGTCCTTGTCATTTCTTTTTAATTGTTGTTTGACCCCCATGCTATTAAACTTAATGGGTTGCTTTTATTAATTAAATTACTAAATGAATGCCACCAGTAGCTGATAACTGGAGGCTCCAGATTTCTGTTAATAAGGTCATTAAGGACATAACTTGGGTTAGAGTAAACTAAGCCTTCATTTTAGCACATTTTATTCTCTCTAACGTAAGTTTGCCAGAACAACATTTTTTTGCTTTCATAGCTCTTTATGTAATTAATTCCATTTATAAGATATGATGCTGGGAACCTCAACTGAAAAACAATCTGAATGTGTTTGAAATCTGTGCTTGGGTAGGATGCCTATGCATATTTAATATTGTGTAACAAATGTCATCATTTTAGCCTTCAGAGTACCACTGAGAAGATAGGATTACAGGATAAAACATCCCATAATATATAAATAAGCTTAGATTGCCAATGTTGCTTAGTAAGATAAAGATGGCAATTTTTCTTGTTCTTGCCACTGTTGTGTTGTATGTAAGTGTATGTTGTATGAGACTCTTTTTAAAAGCCCAGGTCTTTGTGTTAAGTCAAAGAGAAGCCAGAGACGATGGTGTATAGAAGCAGGCCTTTTTGTTCATGCATTAGATTAAGACTGTATTTCTTCAATTTCCCATCTGTGGTTCTTGAGAAAATATAAATTAGTTAAATAATGTTATGGCCCAGATTTCTAGTGAAAGATAGTCCTCACGGCAATCATTTTCTATGAGAGATTTACTTGATTTAAAAAAAAAAAAGGAAAATGATCTTGGTTTCTAGTGCCTGGAGGCCTTCAAGTCACACAGGTAGTTTGTGCTTGACATGGATAGTCTGAATCCACCAACAACTCCTTGAGGGAAAGATGACAGTCTTTCTTGTTAAAATTTACAGCCTCAGAAACCAAGTGGAGGGTCGCTGTAAGTCAGAATCATCTTGACAGCATCAAGTTGAGTGGTTATTTTTTTTATTAAACTAATCTGAAGGGTGATGGCTCAGACCCCCATCCCCACCCCACGGGAGGAATTACAGAAAAAAGGCCTGGCCTTCTGCTTTCATAACATTACAGACAAGAAAAATCTATTGAGTGTCTTACTCTGTAACAGATTGAGTCAACATAAGTTGGAATTCTTTGCAAGGTATTTAATTTAGTTTTTACTTTGTTGCAGTACTGGGTACAGTGCCATATTAGTGAATAGACCAGAAGTTGTTTTAAATAGTTGTCCACAGAACGGTATCAAAGTGGTATCAAAGTGGACGTCTTAAGGATGGCTTTTTGAGTACCAGCATGAAGGAATTGCTGCTTCTGCTGTTCACAGCTATGATTACAATACTGCCATATGCTGTGCAGACCAGCTTGTAAAATTGACAGTGGTTGCATATAGAATTTTTTTTTAAACTTTCATTATCAGAATAGTGGTATCTCTGAGTGGTGCAAATGCTTGTGGTTGTTCTTGGATGCTATAATTTCATTTCAACTCATATCCACCCCTTATGACAGAGTAGAACTTTCCCATAGGGTTCCTAGCCAGTAATTTGTATGGCAGTTGATTTCCAACCCTTTCTCCCATGGAGCTGCTAAACAATTCACACACTCTTCTGCTAACCCAAAGGTTGGAGGTTTGAGTGCCCTGTGATGCCAAAGAAGACAGGTCTGGAAGTGAGGGTAAAGGTGATGGTGGACAAACAACTTTATTTTGAAATTTTAATGGAAATTTAAGATAGTGGATCTCTTGTATGTAGTGGTCTCAACTCAAACATAAAAATGTAGAAAAGATAGTCCTGATACTTAAATTGTTCTATTTAATTATTTAAATTCTATTAAATTATCTATTAGAATGATTAGCGAAGACACCATATTTCAATTTTATCTTTAGAAATACATTTTTCTTTTCACTCAGTGATTCTTGAGTGAGAAAATTCACTTAGGAGAACTTTTTCTGACATTTCCCTTACTTAATTGATCTTGAGGAGCCCTTGTTGCCTAGTGGGGAAGGAGTTATACTGCCAACCCGCAGACCACTGGCTGCTCCTCGGAATAAAGATGGGCAGTCTCCTTCCTTGAAATTGACAACCTCTGAACACCTGCTGGAGGGTCAGGTTTTAGATGTTTCCAACTCATGGACACATAACAACAGTTGGGTTTTACCAGCTAGAGTGTCTGTCTCTTCATTCTTATTACTTCCTTGGACTACTGGACAACTTAAAACAATAGGTATTGATTCACCATTCTGGAGGCCAGAAATCTAAAATGTTTAGTGTTGGTAGGTAGGGCTGCACTCCCCTCTGGGGACTTCAGTAAAAGCCATCTTCTTTTATGGTCTCTAGGTCTTTGGCTTGTGGCTGCATCACTTCTCTGTCTATATACTTCCTTCTCATCCCTCACAAAATCCTGTATGCTTCTCTCCTCTAAGAGTATGTTGTTGTTGCTTTTGGGTCGGGACTGACCCATAGCTGACCCTCCAGGGAGTTTTCAAAGGCAGTAAATCACACGGGAGGAGATTGCCCATCATTCTTCCCCACAGCTACTAGTGGGTTCAGACTGCATGCCTTTGGGATTGCAGTGCAGCTTCTTAACCACCAGGCCATAAGAACTCCCCTTTGAGAACAGGTTGTTGTTGAATACCGTTGTGTCAGAACTGACCCATAGCTGACCCTCTGCCAGATTTTCAGAGGCAGTAAATCGCATAGGAGGAGATTGCCCATCCTTCTCCCATGGAGCAGCTGGTAGATGTGAACTTCGTGCCTTCAAGATTGCAGCACAGTTTATTACCATTAGGCCAA